TCTGCAACCTTCCTCCAACTTTGGGTTGGAGCAGGTCCCCAGATTAGAGAGACACCAGGTGTCCTATCTAGTTAGGTTGTTGGTGGTGCTGATCTTGTTGGAACCTGTTGGACGTTAGGTCTTGGTGCCACATGGATCTATTTTTACTGGTGCGATGCCACAGTCGGTATTATTTTCCAGCAGGCCCAGTGCAATCCAGGGAACTCAGTGAGTTTTTGTGAGCTCAGCACATGTGCAGTTCACTCTTGTCCCCTGCAGTCCCAAAGCTATTGCCACACTGTACAAAATGGTGCCTGATGTACCACTACCAGAGTTCTCGATCTGCTGGCCGTCAGTTCTAAGGGCTACCCAGACCTGCCCCAGGTGGAATCTATAGAATGTCACTTTGCTGCAGTTCACTGAGCTCACTTCCAGCTCAGCGTATGCTCAGGCCTTTCCGTTGCCTTTGCCTCTTTACACAAAATGGCACCCAATTTGGCTCTAGGGGGCTGACTGGGCTGTGAAATTCATCCTGTTCTCGCACTGTCCATCTGGGATCTGCTGCTCTGTTTCTGCTCCTGGTCAAATCGAATGGACCAGCAGGATGGACAGTTCTTTGTCTGGGTTCACCTCCCAAGCTCCCACTGAAAGTCCTTTCCCATCTGTTTGCCGTGGAGTTCCAGATGCTGGTGGAGTTCAGATCACTGAATGCCACTGGAATATGAGTCACTGTAACACAACACTGTTGTGTCTGCTGCTTTCCTGTGTCTGTCAGTCTCCAGGTACCCCTCTGCTGTTGTTTTGTCCTCTCCTATTTCCTGAAATATGTCCTCTCTTCTTCATCCTGATTAAATGTTTTTCCATCTGTTTAAACCTTTCTTTACCCTATTCCACCATCTTTATTCTCCAAAATATACATGTATAATCTTGCATCTTAATTTGGAGCTTGACATGACTGAATGTACTGAAAAATTAGCTTCTGTTACTAAGTTTTATAGATTAATCAACTGTTGACTGATGATAAATTTCTAAATCAAATGTTGAAAGTATAATAGAGTCTAGGTTAGGAACCAGATCTTAAGGCTGTTGAACCAAAAATCTTTTCTATCATGCTATTCCTAAACTGTTTTTAATCACCTGAGTCCTCTCTTGAATGACATTGTTTAGTAAAATATTTTCAATTGTGCTAAGTTAAAAGTTTTTTTCTCCTCTTATAGTTTCCAGAGCATTTTGTTTTTGCTTGATGTGTCTCAGGGGACATTTTATGGTCCTTATAGTGTATCCTTCTTTGACTTACATCATTACAAGTTTCCAAAGACCAAGCACCATGACTTACAGATTTTAAGTCTGAAGAAAGTGTATTACAGCATCCTACATATAATGAAATTGTTAAATACATCTTGATAGTAGGATGCTGGAGTTCTGTTGATCATGCCTACAATATCAGGGTTCAGTTAAGTAGCAGAATGATGGACTTGTGACTGTTTTGGAAGAACTATACTATTGTAATAGCATAGGAGAAATTGGTAGGGGTAAGAGAAAACCCAGAAAATAAGGAACTGTATCATAAACAATTTGAAAAGATCAATAAAAAAACCCCAACTTAATGAGACCAGTAAGTATTCTTCTTTTTTTTTTTTAAGTAATGGGCTTTCCTTATCCTATTAACTCACTTATGTTTCTTATCTTGGTTTTTAAATGATTTTGCATCACAGTATCCTGCACACACACACACACACACACACAGACACACACACACACACACACACACACACAAAGAAAGAAAGCACCTTTCTATGCCCTCAGGTAAAGATAGACAAGTCCAGGTATAAACAGGAATTGATGGGTAGCTAGAGGGAGCTTCAGCTTCCCTGTCCAGATCCCCTGGACATAGGCTTGGCAGTACACACAGTTTCCTTGGACCCTGGAGAGAATAAATGTAAGTGAGCCCCCTGGGGAAAAGACAGGGCAGGTCAGGTGAGTGCTGAATATATTCTGCCTGAGCTTCTATTTTCCTGCTTTAGCATTATAGCACCTACAATGACGTCTCAGCAAACACAAGGCACAGATATTCTGGGAATGTAAAAATCTGCAAGGCTTTTTTTTCTCAGTTTCAGTTCAAATGTCTAAAGAACTTTTCATTCTTACAGAGAGGACAAATGGACATTGGTAAGAAGTCACAAATATCAGGTGAGATAGATTTTTGAATACATATCCAAGGAATGTAGAGAAGAATTGGGAAGATGTCATCTGGTACTGTTCCTGAGCAGAAGGATAACACTGGGGAGGTGTGGGGGGGGAATGAACAGGGAAATTCAGGTTCATTGCAACTTTATTCACATTAAGTGTAATCTGGATACATGTGGGGTCTTTGGGAGTTGTTTAAGGAAACAAAGGGTATGTTCCTTGTTCTAGAAGAAATACATTGTTAAGTTGTTTCTTAAGAACAATCTCATATAAGATTGGAAAAACTATGTTGTATAGTGACATGATTTCTTTTCTTGAGTAACAGAGAGTTCCAGGTCTTAGAAGTTTTGGTTCTGAGAGCAAGGATAGTAAGGAGAATTATAAATATATCCGTGTTTCAACATGGACCCTGATAAGATATGTTCATGGCAAAAAGGGTGGAGAGGAATTGAAACCATGAGGAGCAGGCTTGACTACATGAAAGCAATAATTTAGAGAGAAGATGGGAATAATGGTGACCTGAATCTAGAACTGTTTAAAGGGTTGAGCTGTTCTCCAGCAAATTTGGGTTTACCTAAACTTCTATAAGGTAAGTACAAGTGAGTCAAAGATAACAAATGCTGCACATATGAACATGTGTTTGATCATATGTGAATACTAATACATGTGCTTGAATGAGCATGAATCAATGAACTGGGATATTTGTTGATAGCTACACGTTATAAAGAACAATAAGGAACAGTCACGGATCAAGTCTTATGTGGTTTCTGCGTATTATCACATTTAATTCTCATGGCAGATCAGTCACTTTTGTTATACAGAAGAACATACTGAAGCATACTTTTAGGGTTAAGCAATCTTTTAGGGTGGCTACTACATCTGCTATCACTCTAAAACACAGGCTGTTAAATTCTATAGGGAAGAATGTGTGCTGACCAGGATGTAGAATGAAATCCATGTTGCTTTACAAAGGAGGGCCTCTAAGGCTAGAACACGGGAAAACTCACTACTGTGCTTTCAGAACTAGTTGCTTTTCCCAGGAAAAGTGGTCTAAGACATTGTGTAAGTAGGATCTACCGCAGAAGTTGGAGGTGTCACCGGAGGCTGTGTACAGAGACAATAGCTATAGGGGGTAATTTAATGCTGTGTTCCAGATAGGAGCACTGCTATGGAAACAGAAAATGGTGTCAATAACATGTATTCTAGTATCTGATCCTTTAGCATCTCTCCATAAAAACAAGTCTGGCTGATATACTACTCTCTTGGTACAACATAAAAAAGCACTTGGAGGTCAGAATGTACAATTTTTGAGGGAAAGAACTAAATTCAGGCATTATGACAAAGTGATTTTCATAATGTTCCAAAAATGACCCTGTGGTAAAATAATTCTATAAAATAAGGCTAAAATAGTATGTCTAGCGTCCTCTCTTCTTCTCTCCCTCCCTCTCTCTCTCTCTCTCACACACACACACACATATCCTTGTATCCTTGTATCCTTGTACTACACTCAATGCTGTCAGTCTTTCTTCACTCTTCTCTGGAAGATGCTAAACAGTGATTGGTATTGGTATTTAGAAAGATGGATGATCTGAAACCAGGACCTAGGTCTCATGTTCTCAGATGTTGTGGTCATGAAAGTATCTACCGGATTGGGTATTAGCATAGGGATTTCTGTTACTCCTTGTTACATGCCCACATCCCATGTTGAAGTGCCTGGTTTGAATTCTGGTGACTTCACTTCCAACCCTGCTTCCTGCTAGTGTACAGCTTTGGAGGTTGCAGAAGAAAATGTAGGTGCTTGGGGCACTGACACTCTCATCAAAAAACTGGAAGGAATTCTAGGATCCTGGCTTTGGCCTGGCCCAGTCCCAAGTGTTGCAGACAATTGGACAATGAATGGAAAACCTTTCATAAAAAATTAAAAATAAAAGTGTAAGCTCCAGATGTGTCAAACATGTGCAGCATATGTCTGTACTTCCTTAAGGGAGATCTTCACTTGTCAGTCCAATATCTGTGCTTGCTAGTCAATGTCATAGGCATTTTATTCACAGTTGTGAAAGAAAATATTTTGGGTTTTGGAGGATTGCTTTGGGAAGTGATTGCAGATGAGGCACTTCATCTAGTTTTTGTAGCTATCTCCTAAATGAAGCCAGTACTACTGATTCCTTAGAAACAATTTTTGGGGAATGTAAAAGAAACAGAGGAAAGTGTGTGGAAAACCCAAAAAGAGAGATTATGTGTGCATTGGGAACACAATGTAGTTGAATATTTCTGGCACATCAATGACATTTAGATGTTCAAAAGAGATGAATGAGTTGGGGAAAAAAGGATTAAGAAGTTAAATGATTTCTATCTGTAATAACTAAAGTGTTTGCATTGCAAGAAAAATTTCTTCTACACCATACTATCCTCCATATTTTATTTCAGGCAGGAATATAAGTTTGTGTAGGGTATCTTAATCAAAAGGAGAACCTGAACCAATGTAAAAGACAGGGGGACACACACACACACACATAACATAACGAATTGATGTATATTTAAAAAGGAGCTGTGAGTAGTGAGCTAGGGATGTTGAAATAATTATCAGTGAGTGAAGTTAGAAATGGTAGAATGTTTTAATTCTAAGAAATTGCCATTTTGAAATTGATAGAAATGTGTGTTTTATGTTAGAAATAGAGTTCCTGCAAACAAAAATTATTTTATTAATTATCCTATTTTTTAAAGAAGGTTGAATGAAGTTACTTTGGTCTCTCCTTTTATGCCACAGGCATCCTCATTGTTCAGGGCATTGCCATAGAAGACTTCAGTGTCTCTCAGAGCTTTCCGTCGTTCTGGGGATGAACATCACCCTGGTCCATGAATTCATCCTGGTGGGCTTCCCCACCGCCCCGTGGCTGCAGACATTGCTTTTTTTCCTCTTCCTTGTGGTCTACCTGTTAGTGATAGCAGAGAATCTTATCATCATGCTCACCGTTTGGATCACTGGCTCCCTTCACAAGCCCATGTACTATTTCCTGAGTAGCTTGTCCTTTCTAGAGGTGTGGTATGTCTCTGTGACTGTCCCAAAGATGCTGGATGGGTTCCTCCTGCAGAGACGGAACATCTCCTTCACAGGTTGTATGACCCAGCTCTACTTTTTCATCTCACTGGCCTGCACAGAGTGCGTGCTCCTGGCAGCCATGGCCTATGACCGCTATGTGGCCATCTGCCACCCTCTTCGATACCCAGTCATCATGACCACTGGTTACTGTGTACAGTTAATTGCCTTCTCTTACATGACTGGTTTTATGATTACTGTCATCAAAGTATATTTTATTTCACATGTCACCTTTTGTGGCTCTAATGTCATGAATCACTTTTTCTGTGATATCTCACCAATCCTCAAACTGGCATGCAAAGACATGTCCACAGCTGAGCTAGTGGACTTTGCTCTGGCTATTGTCATTCTTATCTTTCCTCTCACTACCACTATTCTCTCCTATATCTACATTGTTTCTACTATTCTGCATATACCCTCCACCCAGGGAAGGACAAAGGCGTTTTCTACATGTGCATCTCATCTCACTGTGGTCATAATTTATTATACAGCTATGATTTTTATGTATGCTCGACCTAGAGCTATTGCATCATTTAATTCCAACAAGCTGATATCAGCTGTGTATGCAGTTCTCACACCCATGCTGAACCCATTTATCTACTGTCTAAGGAACCAGGAAGTCAAGAATGCTATCAAGAAGACCCTTGGTGGTGGCCAGTGCTTCTTGCTCATCTGAGACCGACTGCTTTAAGTAACTGACTGTATCTCATTAAGCATGTCATTCCCATGTGAAATTATCCTTCTGTTTATTATCATCACTGCTCCTCAGAGCTGCATTCTGATAGAAATTGCAAAACAGGAGAAGTAAAAACAAAGTGTAAGGTATAAAGAATATACCATATCAATAAGCACAACTTTAACCACAAAGATATGTAAGTGCTGTAAAATGAATATATAAAAATAAAAATGAATATATAAAAATACATATTTAATATATATTAGACAAATATTTCAATTCCCATATTTATAATAAATTTGAAGTACCCTCCTTTCTTCAAGATATGTTTTAGATATGCAAAGTTTGTTTCAATTTTAGTATATGTGCTGCCAAAGCAAGCGCAATGTGCAAAGTTTGAAAAATAAAATTCAAAAATTTGGTGTCAAATCTATATGCTGGTTTGCAACCAAGTCTGAATAGATGCCATGTTCTTTACATTACTTGTCTAAATTATGGTCACATATATCTCTTTTGTCTTTATTTTCATAACTTGCCTATCATTAATTGGATGAATACATCAATAATCTTTCTCAAATTTAAATTAATACAAAATCTTTTATTATTTGCTAATATTCCACATTAAGAAATCAGAAAACAACCCTAAAACTTTTCTAGGCAATTAACGTATTTTACAAACAATAGTTAATCTTTAGCTCTGAAATCCCTCTTTACTTAAAGTTTCTATATTTAAAAAAGTAAAGGAAAAACTGCAAAACTATCCAATGAAATAAAGAAAGTGCATTAATTGAATAGAATATCATATCTTGGAAAGTATCATGGAACAGAAGAAATGATAGTAAGGGGAAAGCTTGCAAATTCTTGAACAAAAACTTTTAAAAATGAATTGTTTAGTGGAAAAATCCTGAAATTTTAGATTGTTGGTCTTAAGTTTATATGATAGTGTGTGATGATAATGTTAAAGAAAATAAAAACTCTTGATCATATGAGCACTATTTTTTAACATCTTTCAAAATTTCTACAAATATAAATTTATTTTCAGAAGCATACTTTTAAGAAAAAGGTGTGGGAATTTGGTTCAGTGCTTAAAGATCTTGGTTGGGAAACGCATATTGAATATCATAGTACCTAGATTAAGTCCTGCTTTTGCTTCCCATTTTATCTTCCTACTAATGCATAACCTGGGAGTCAAAAGATGATGGCTTATGGTCTTGGAACTTTGCCAGCTCTGTTGAAACCTGCGTTGAATTCCAGGCCCCTGATTTCAACCTGGTCCAGCTCTGGCTTTGCAGGCATTTGGGGGAATAAATGGGTAGGTGAAGGATCTGCTTCTACTGTTCAAATAAAATTGAAATAAATAGAGAAACACATTAATATATATATATTTGGCTTTTTATATCACACAATTAAATGAAATTGCACTGGTTTCAATGCTTTGTGTGTCAATAAAGGTGTTCTACCTATTCCTTGTTTTTTTCTTACAGTGATGTGCATAGCAAATACCTGTTTTTAACTGAAAAATTCTTCTAATTTATACTTACATTAATTCTTATGAAATTCATAAATTGATGCTTTTTTCATTTAGCCAACAAAGTTAAAACAATGAATAATTGATATGTAGTTATTTCATGTACATTTAAAGTTCATATTATATACGTTTTTTAGAAATCACCATTTGCTACTGGTAAGTCTGAGTAGACAGTTCCATCAAGGGATAAATAGAGATGATCCTGTGTGGCTTGTGCCTTTATTTTGTCTTAAAATCACTTCCTGTAGAATAAGTTCCTTTGCTCATTGAGGTACAAGAGCTTCTTCTGGGGTTTACTCTTGCAGTTGTTTTTAAGTTTCACAGTTATTGTCACCCAACTGGTTGCAAATCCCTAAGTACTGGAAAACTTGAAAGAGGGCTGTCAGTTCACCTTGTTCTCAGCACATGGTGCACGCCTTCCAAGTTCTCATTCAATGCCCACATGTTTCCTCTGGTCCTTGGCAGTGAGTGGTCCTTGAAGTGAAATCAGGCCATCAGATACTCCATTACTCTGTCTTCTGATTAATAGCTATCATTATTGTGTGTTTTCCACACTAATTTTTCCATTCCAAGAGCAGTTTCATCTTCTAATAATGATATCTTGGCTTCGTCTTACATTCCAGCATGATTATAATTTTCCCTTGTATATGTTATCATAAAGCAGTTTTAGATTGGCTTTTCAGATAGTTATGTCTTTTTTTCTCCAAATTTCCTTGAGATGTGACTGGCAAAACTATCTTTGCATGTACAATGTAATATTCTGATATAAGAGGATGTTATGAAATTAATCACAATCAATCCAATTAACATAGTTGTCACCTTACGTTGCAATCCTTTTGGGAGAACAGTTGAGACCAACTCACATAGTACATTTCTAATATTTAAAGGAAAAAAAGTATTTGGAGAATTATATAAAAATAATCATGGGTTTCAATTTTTTGCAACCCAATAAACTCATCTTCTAACTCCCTTTTTTCTTTTTCTTTTTATTGAATGCATGGATGGAGATCTTAATATCATATGAATTTTATGACAAAAATATAAAGAATAAAGAGCGTATTATTATGTAGGGTACATAGTTTAGTGAAGGCAACGTTCATAACTACTTATAAATATGTACAGCTTATCTTATTCTGTTTACATATTAACTTTGAAATGAGGGAAAGCATGCTTTTCTTTTTTCTGTGTCTGATTTTACTTAGAACAATGAATTCTAGTTTCATGCGTTTTGTTACAAATGTCAAAACTTTTTTAGGGCTTAGTAATATTTCACTGTGGATAATTACCACATTTTTAATGCAATCATTCATTGAGGGACATTTCAGTTGAGTCCATATCTTGTGCAATAAGATGCAAGAAACATGAATGTGCTGGCATAACTTTCACAGGCTCACTTCATTAATTTGAATGTAAAACTTGAATTGGATAGCTAGGTCCTAGGGTAAATGTATTTGTTGGGTTTTGATGATTCCTCATACTATTTTCCATGATGTCTCTACTAGTTACATACTAAATTCCTTCTTTCTCTGAAACTTCAATGAATGTTTTATGATTTTTGGATAATAACTATTCTATCTAGAGATGACAAGCCCCCTAACAGAAAATATTAGATACGCAAATATCAATTATTTTTATTTATTTTAAGTGTTTGTTTTATTATTCATATTGGAAAGGTAGATTTGCAAAGAGAAGGAGAGACATAGTAAGATCTTCCATCCTCTAGTTTATTCCCCAAGTGGCTGTAATGGCTGGAGCTAAACCTGTCTAAAGTCAGGAGCCAGGATGTTCTTCTGGGTCTCCCACATAGGTGCAGGATCCCAAGACTTTGGACCATCCTTGGCTGCTTTCTCAGGTCGAAAACATGGAGTTGGATAGAAAGTGGAGCATCTTAGACACAAACTGGTGACCATATGGGATCCTGGCACTTTGAAATGGAAGACTAGTCACTTGAACCATCACACTAGGTCCGTAGATGTTATTCTTTTTATGATTTTTTTAAAAAAAATATTAACTCTCATTCTACATGATCACACATAAGCCACAAAAAGTTGACTACACATTTATCTTAACTATGGATTTTTGCATGTTTTTATATAATTAAAATATGCAGTTTTCATGGGAGTTTAAGAAACTCTATTTCACATTCCTTGTAAAGCATTCTAATAGTGATAAATTCCCTCATTTCATTTGTAATGGAAACTTTACTGTGTAAAGTATTATTGATTGGGGAATGGCATTTTCTTTCTTCATTTTCAATATATCATCTCAACCTCTCCTGCAGGTTGTCAAGGACATTCAAGGTAAAGATTTCCTATTCTACTGTCCTGTTGATGTCACTCCTGATGCATAGATAACATTTTCTTCTAACAATAACAGGATATTGATAAGAAAAAACAGGATATTATTACCAAAGTTTGTTGAAGAATAAATTGAAGCATAAAGATAAATTTCTGGGCCCAACTGTTGAAAATTACTAAAACCCACATTAGAAGCAGTCTTTTAATTGGTGGCCAACATTTTTTTAGCATGATGCAACTTCAAAATATTTATTCCATGAGTCTGGAAAGATGCCCCTTCTATGAAATATTCCAAAAATTGTTTTTCAATTTCTCAGTAAGAAAGCACCTCTCCTTCCTCAGAATTTTCAGAGCACTTTGTTCTTAAGTAACTTGATGTTACATTATCTTACATATAGGAGTAAGTGAAAAATACTACACCATGTTCATAGCTATGGGTAAACATGATCCAGGATTAAGCCAAAATGGACAGAGGTAGATGAAAATGCAGCTTCCTAGGGTCCCACGTCGTAGCAATACACGTTAAATTTCCCTAGAGCCCAAACAAACAGAGTGAGTTCTTCCCTTGGGAAGAGACAAAAGATAAATGTTACAAGGACTAGCTTTATTAAACTTTCCCTGTTCCCCTCTTCTAGTTTTAGAGCTACAATTCCTATCATCTATACTAAGGAAGGGCCATGCATAGTTCTTTTAAGAGTAGAAAAATCTGTAAACAAATTTTCCTTCCTGTGATCAATGTGATTGTCTGAATAATTTTTCTGTTCATAGAGCAAGGACAGGTGGGCCATGGTGAGTGTTAGAGATATTAAGATGTATTGGTGAGTTCCTAAAATGACAAGAAAAGGCTTGAGAAAAATATCTAGACATATAATTCAGAACAGTAGAGGCAGTATTTGTGGGGAATAAAACCAAAAAGGAAGCTCTTGTATATCCTTGCTCAAGGTTTGGGAAACAGTGAAAATAATTCATTGAAGATTAAATTAGGAAGAAGGCCCGATTGATCAAGCATTTCATGGCTACTTAAATTATTTTCCCCAGGAATTTTTTTTTTGATTCACCATAATATAGCAGGAAAAATAGGAGCAAGAAAGAAAACAACTGTTTATTTATCGGTACATTTGAGTGAAAACATTGAGCATGTGTAATTGGGTAAGCTTCTAGGAATCTAATGTGAT